GCATTTCTATTTTGCACGTATTTTTCAATAACCGTTTTAGTTATTTACCGGTGAATCCGTCTTTAGATTTACGTCTTTAGATTTGAAGTTCACCGGCGACAAGCATTCATTCTTTATTCGTCCAATAGACATAATAATAGACGAGCATCTTCCTTCGTTCAGTCAATAGAAAGAAAATAGTGTCAACGAGAATAAAATGAGTAGAATAAAATTGATAATGCAACTGGATTTGGATCGCGACATGTTCCTCTTTTTTCCAATTAATTAATAAATAATGTCATTCTTGTTTAAAAATAAAATAAAGCTCGCGATTTGCTTGTGCATATCACCGGTTTATATAGGAAGTTGTATGATTCTGTGAAATCAACTCTGTGTTCTTTTCACATTTCATCTCTATATATAATAATAGCATTCATTCTCTATTTTCTTCCCTCTAATTTCTCTTTATCTTAATATTATATATTTCTTCTACTCTCTAGTCCAGTCTATTCTAATCGTCTATCTTTCCTCGCTTTTAAAGCTATTATAGTCCGCGAAAGCGATAGATAATCGCAGGAAAACATTCGCCATTTACAGATAGGAGTGTGCACTTCTGCGAATACGGATAAAACGAGAAGACTATGATTTATTACACATTTGTTGAAAACATTCAAAGTTCAGGCCAGGAAGTACCAGAAATTTAATATAATACGACCATAATACATTTGCATTAATATTATTTTTCTTCCTGCGTATAATCTGATATTAAAAAGATTTCACAATGACTTTGATTAAAAAATCGTAAGGTCAATTTTTGAGATATCTGACGAAAGAAAAAGTTATGATTTATGACGAGTGGTGGCCTTCCTAATGCCATCGAACTCTACAAAGCTATTGTTCTATCTGCAACTCTCTTCGTTGCCCACGCCCGAAATTAACGGCAGCCTGTTCCTCCAGTGCTGACTATTATGCTTCCTAGCGATATCTCCCCACCATCATCCGTGTCGCGGCGAGAAGAAAGACGCAACTCCAGACCGTAACGAGCGGCTGGCTCGAAAATCGCAGTAGATTCTACCAACGTCGTTTAAGTCGCAAGTATACAAAACTGGCAGCAACAGCAAGTTGCTCGCTATTTGTCGTTCTATTTTCGTAAAAAAAGGAGCAGTAATCGATGCGAAATCAGTTATCAGAGATGATCTTGACGATTCAATTATTGTAAGCGTAACATACGCGTTGACCGAGAATTTTCAGTCGAATTGAAAAGAGTAATGTGGTAAATAAATTTAGTAGAGCAAAAATTGAAAGAGTCGAGCATAGTGCACAATTGAAAAGCACAGACAACAGAAAGAACAGTTTTGTTAAAACGACGTCTACAATGAAATTTTAAATCGTAAAACTTGAGCCTTAAATCGTGAAAAATTGATCAATCATAGTCGATTATTCTCTTCAAATTTGATTTTGGACAATTTCTTACGGCTTAAGGCTTAAAGCTTAAATTAAGTATAACAAAAATATATTTATTTAAAGCTTAAGTTAATATCTAAAATTTTAGTGCTGGATAGATTTGAAAATAATTTTATTACACTATTAAAATAATTATGAAAAACGTTCGAACAATATTGCAACAAATTTGGATGTTTTAACAATCATCTTGAGTGTTCTACATAATTATTTTGATAGTCTAACAAATTTTTCTGATTTTGTATCTAGCTGAATTTTTAGTTCAACAAAAATATTCTTTCCGTGAATAACAGATTTCAGTCATCAGAAGTCACGAATTCTAATAACGATTTCTGATTGGTTGAAATCTGTTCCTATTAATTGTGCTTTTCATTATATTTACAGCTTTAATGTGGCAAAAAAATCTAATAGAGTAAAAAATAAGATTCTCATTTTGCTCTTCCACTATCTTTTGTTGAACAAACAGATGGATCGTTTTCGTATATTCGATGGATTATTAATAGATAAGCACTCATTCAGACAAGTCGGCATTCTTACAGTCAGACTTTGATTACTCAGACACACTATGCAATCATCGTGGTTTTTCTAGTAAATATATATAGCTTGTCATTAGTAGTTAGTAATTATTTGTAATTAACAAATTTTCTTTCTTCATTCAACCTAAGATAGCCGAGTAGAGAGAGAATCTATTATATTTGCTACTACAAGGTTGTCATAAATTTCTATAAAATTTCATAACTTGTTCCTGATTTTCAAACAAAATTTCATGATTTTCCCTAATACATCAATAATATTTAAAAATTTTTTGTGTTTTTGTCCCGAACATTATCAAATATTTAGATGGGAGAGCAATTTAACATAGTAAAGTTAATTGCTATTAATGTTGCTGACTCTCCTTGCATTTAATTGTTAAGTTGATAGTATTCCAAAACTGCACAAGTGTGATGTATGCATATAAACTTCTTCTAAAGCCAAGAATTTTTATTTTCCAGACAATTTTGCAAAATTTCCTAACTTTTCCCTGATTTCTCTAACAGTTTTCGATTTCCCTGATTTGCAGCAACCCTGTGTTAGTTGAGAATAGACGAAGCGAACGAGGCTCGAAATCGACGATGTGGCATCGATTTACATAAAATATTAACAGCATTACGGAGGCACGAAGCGCGCGAATCGCCGGAATTAGCTTAGCCAGGCGGAGTCAGGGGCATATTTTGCGACTTCAATTGCGCCGATCTATGGGGGTTTTGGCACAGAAAGTGGAGGGACGGATGGCGTGGACGTGCAAGGGGAGAAAAAACATACGTTTCGGATAAATATAGTCCCGAGGTCGCGGTAAAGAGAAAGGAAGGAGCTCCGCCACGGAGTACGGAGAGGAGCACCAGGATTCGAGGAACAGCCTCCTCTCCCTCGTCGGTCGTGGCCGTCGTGAATTTCACGGCCTTCGAGGACGGACACATTTGCTCCTCTCGAGCGATTGCGTTCCCCTTCCCTCTCCCTTCATCTATTACTCTAACGTACGTCCCCGTCATGTCATGCATTGTCTCGTAAACGCCGTCACTTCAACACAACTCGCGCAGCGGTCAGCGATAATAACTTATCCGCTGCTCCGAGTTCTGTAATCTGTAAACGACCGTTTGCGACCAACGGAATTGTTTTCGACTCGGCCGTTCCCTACCACAATGTCGCGTTACGGCGGCTTAATGACGGCTTAACGATCCTCCATTTTCTTCCGTGCTAAAGCTCCAGAAGAGAATTTTTTTTTTTCTACGAAGAAGAGGTCTCGGGCGAAGTCTTTAACTAATGTTTTTATGGCAACGCTCCTTGCGTCTCTATAGTATCCCCCTATAATGACCGTATGTCCGTGCATCTTTAAATCGATAGCTCGGAGCTAGCACGACCAATGTCACTGTCTAACTCGGCGAACGAAGGTCCTATATATTCCGCGCTCGTACAGCAGCACAACGGTCGGAATCCCCTTCTTTCTCTACGCTGCAGAATCGATATCGATTGCGGCCCAACGCAAATTTCCGCACGGACGATTCCATGATATTCTCGTATTTTTTTTTTTCTCTTCCTTTTTATATTTTTACAAGACGCTTCCTTTCCTCTCCTCTCCTCTCCGGATTCTCACGATTCTCGCGATGGAGAAGCTGTCGCGGGGAGCGCGACGGTGGCATCGGCGGCATCGGCGGATCTGTTAGCCGCGGCGAGTTCTAATGACGGTGGATCTTAGGGCCAGCTGATTAGTGCCGTCTGGTATTGATTTTCCGATGACGGCCGCGCGGCGCATACTGAGAACTCCCAGCAGGACGACGATGCACACGCGCACACCACCATCACCGCTGCCGCCGCCACCTCCACCAACACCACCACCACCATCACTAACCACGCCGCCGTCGCGCTCTCGCGCGCGTAACGAGTCATGGGACCACGAACACGCCGTGCGAGAGCGAGCGGGCACACATCGATGCATATCTACAAATTCATGTTACACCACTCGCTCACTCGCTCGCTCGTGTCTCACGCGTGTATATCGTTCGAAAAGAGAGCGAGAGAGAGAGAGCGAGAGAGAACGAGAAAGAGAGAGAGTGAGAGAGAGAGAGAGAGAGAGAAAGAACATGGGTATACGTACGCACACACACACACACATAGCCATGCGACGAGTTCGATTCGCTATACTTTGCTCGCTGCTTCGTGCGTCAAATTGGAAGAATCCGAGACGGCCGACGATAAGCGGCCGTCGCGAAAATGCAATTGCACGGCGAGTGACGCATCGACGCTTTTCCCGAGGGAAAATCACAGCGGGTGATCCGCTCCGTCTCGTCTCGGCGACGACGGCTCAAGGCCGCAAGAGGAACGGCCGGGGCCTGGGTCATGAGAGAGACGGAACACGGGCGAGGAACGTGGCACAGGATAATGTGTGCGTGCGTGTGTATGTGTGTGCGTGCGTACGTGCATGCGTGTGTATGTGTGTGCGTGTGTGTGTGAGTATGTGCGTGCGTGGGAGAGAGGCAGACGAAGAGAGAGAAAGAGAGGTATGATTGTTTCTACTGATGTAGTTTAATTTTAATCTTGATTCAACTAATCCTTGGTTCATCTTTTTCTAATTCTAAGAATTCGAAAAAGTAAATTGAATTGAAATTAAACTTACATTGGTAGAAATTAGTCTACATTAGTAGAAATAGGCAAGAGAGAAAGAGTCAGCTTGCGAATGTGCCTTATGTATATGTGTGTGGTGTGTGTGTGGGCGCGCGCGCGCGCGCGTATGCGTGTGTATGTCCGATCGGTCGTGCGGATTCGCGAGAAGAAGAGGAGAGCAAAACGGAGCAGAGACAGGATTGAGCCGTGGAAAGAAAGGGGAAGGAGAATTGCAATAAGCGGAGGAGAGATCTGGGAGACGAGCCGGCTCCCCTATCTATCTATCCATCCAAACCATCCATCCATCTCTATCATTCTAACGCTTTCTTTCTCTCTCTCTCTCTCTCTCTCTCCTCGTCTCGCGCTCGAGCTGGCGTGGAATAGAAGGCACTTCTCGGGGGCTTTGTACGACGAGTCCCTACCTGCGCAGACGAACGGCAGATCCTTCACAGCATAGCCCGATCCATCTACGTTGTCATCGCCAAATCGCACGCTCTGACTAAGGTGCGGACACTCCATGTTTTCTCCAGGCACGCTTTTCCACGAGGCACCCGTGGCCACCTCGTCGTCGTCGTTGTCGTCGTCGTCGTACGAGCGTTCACGAGACAGTCCGTCTTTCTCTTTTTCCACAACGGGGCGGTGGACGAGGATCGGCTAGGGGAGAAGGGTAGGGACGAGAGGGGGCAACGGGAGAGGAGATAGAGGAGGAAGGTGGGGTAGGTCTCGGTAAAAAGGGTGAAGGGGAGGGGGGGGATACACCGGTGGGGTAGAGTCCGGGTAGACAACGGTACGTGGTGGAAGGTGGGGTACACACTGTGGTGCCCCGTGATATCCGTCACATAGCGCGAGGTGGTAGCGAGGGACACTGTTACGTCGCCTTTAATGAAAGAAATAAAAAAAGGAAAAAAAAACCAAGAGAGGTTTTGCGAGGAGCCGAGGACGGTATGCGTGACGACGACCGTCACTCCCGTTGCGCAGCGTACGACTTACTGATGGAGTGGCGCGGCGCGCAACGCCGAGAGCGAACGGACGATGGTCGGACGAGTGAGTGAACGAACGAACGAGCGAGCGAGCGAGCGAACGAGCGAACAAGCGCGAAGAGAACGGCGGAGACGGAGAACGCTGGAGTGCGGCCGACTGGCCCCGACTGCCGACCGAGCGCGACCGAGCTGCGTAGAGCTCGGTTCTGCCGGCGGTGGTCGGCCCACCTCTAGAGTCACAGATCACTAATAGTCGACTGACTCTTCTCGCCAGTCTCGCCAGCCGTCCGTGTGTGGACTCTCCTCTTGTCCCCCAACAAGCAGATCCCGACGTTCTCCGTTCTCGCCGCCGTTCCTTCGCCCATTCTAGCGCTTTCTCTTTCTCACGCCCCTTCCTCTCTTTCTCTCCTCGCCGACGAGGTTGCGCTAGGTCTCTCCTAGCCTTGGATGGCTAGGGTCGCGCGCGCAGCCTCGCGGCCCGACCAGGGACGGACTTTCGCCCGAGGGTGCGGAACGCTTTCCGTCGTGAACGCGAATTTATCGAGCGTCTCGCTGAATTTATATACCGCGAGACCGCCACACCACCGTGACCCCTCCGCTGATTCGCAATCGATCCCGTGAAATCGCCGCGCACCCCTGGATGAACGGCACGGGGGACACGGGGGGTTTAGAATTTACCGCGTTGGCTTTTATGTATCATGCGAATTACGGCGGATGTTCTTTTCCGCTGTATGCGTCGCATAATGTAAAATGGAGAGGCCCCCTCTCGATACCGTTCGCGGAGAACTCGATTTCGCGTTAATGCTACAAATGCATCGTCCCCCTCTCCTGCGCGTAGAGCGCATTGTTCGAGAACCAGATTATTGAGAGAAAGAAACGGGAAGAGAATTCTCCGCTCGTCATACAAGGCTTCGGGCTTGGGTGCCGGGAAACGTTCGAGCTGCACCTGGCCTAATGCTGATGCAACGCGCCAGGGATGTAGTCGTAACCCTCTTATCCCTCTCCACGGTGCGTCTCCGTGTTCATCGTCGTGAACGATATCGCGAGCTGGGAGAACCAGTTTGCTAAAACGGCAACGATTCCGACAGCTCGGAGCGGTTAAACGCGGTCGATACCGTCGTGGAGCTGCGACGACGCGAGTGTTGGCAAAAACACTCGACGCGAATATAAATTGACGCGAGGCAACCGACGGCGATAATCCTGACATTGGCGCACATGTGGCCGCAATGAGATTATCCGTACGTCTATGTGTGCACGCGCGGAGATCTACGGATTGTAGAATCACGTGGGGAGACTGTACGACGAATTATGCCTCACACAGCGATCGCGGTGGATGAGGACGGGCATTTTCACCCGAAACGTTCTTGGACTTGCAGCGTGAACGGACGATCATTGCATGAGTTTCTAGTTGTTCCTAGTGCGATTAAAATGGCTGACTGAGCGCACGCGCTTTGCTGCCTTTATACTGCCTTTCCGATTTTTTTTCCTCTCGATGCATTTACAAATCGTATCGTTTCTGATGTTTTCCAATATCTGGCGTATCACTGAGGACACATTCAATCAATAAAGATAATTTTCTTTTAAATTAAATTTATAATATAAATTAAATTATAATTATATGTTTTGGATAAAATTTTTCAAGGACATGGAGCAGATGATTAAGGTTAATAATTAATCAATATTGGGACTCGTTAATGATCAAGGTTTACGAAAAGCTAAATGCTTTGACATAATAAGTAGCACGCGTGAGTGTTAGTTTGCAATTTTATTTGAAAAGTGCAGGACCAACCATTTTTCTTAATAATGTGAAGGGAACGATATTTAAGAACGTCTGCTAAATTGTGGTACGGGCTGTGTGAGTTGAAGTCCAGTGATGTTGTTGAACTCTAGCATCTTCAACATTTCCTTAGTTTCTGGATCGACCTCGATGATATCGTGCTCCAAAGCGGAGACCTCGGGAACATAGTTGTCTCTGCGTTCCCTCTCTTCTTCTTGCAACTTGATGGAGATACCACGTACCTGACTGTGCCTAAGCCTCTTCATCAGGTGAGTGACAAATCTAATGATTACAATAAAATCGTTATAATCATATTGAAATTCACATGAGTAACATGAAGATACAAATTAAGTAAATAATGGTAATTAGCTCTAAGAATAAATCAATAAAATAAATTTAATTATCCATAAGAGTTACAGCAATTATTAGCTGAAATTACACATATATTCATATTATATAAAATTTGCAAGGTAGATACAAATAAATCAACAACGACAAATGTTTTGATTTTTGCTAGATGTAAAATGGAAGTATTCAATGTTATAAATGTTACAATAAATTTTGATGAAATTGTAATAGTTATGAATGTTTTCCAGCAAGGATATAGTAAATCCGTTACGTTTTTCTGTCAATATAAACAAGGATGTCATCTTAAACAAGAATAAAATCATTCATTGTTACATTGTCCTTGCTATAAAACACCTTATATTCTTACAGCACGATTTCAATCATACTCAATTTTTGTGCTTTAATTTAGTGTAAAATAAATCTAAATACTATTAATTGTTTTCATTTACAAAAACAAATATAACATTCTTGGTTAGTTGATAAAATGAGTTTGAGAAATGGAGATTTTTTAAAATTAATATGCTATATATTTACCCAGCAATTTTATTGCGCAAGGATTTGCTAGGGATAATAGCGATTTCCTCGCATATCCTCTTATTCGTGTGAAAATCCAAAGTGAGACGTGGATAGTACTTCTCGATAATGAGCTTCGCGGCCTTTTTGACCGTCTTCGTTCGGACACGACTCTGCAAATCGTTTAGAAGCAAATATGAATCAACAATCCGACGCAGAACAATATATTTTATTATGAACAATTGTAGCTCCACTGCCAAATTTCGAACATAACCTAAATCTAAAGTGGCAAGGGTCCGCACATTATCACAACAGTTTCTGGACGATTAATATTCGCACTGTAGGGTTAAATAAAGAATAAATGAAACGAATGGGCATGAATCACTGGCGATTTCTCGCAGATCGCTACAAATTTTCGCGGATTAAAACTAAAACACATCAAATTATACGCACCATGTTGACTCGGATACCGGAAAAGGGGCGAAATGAAACGAGAAAGAAAATAGGAGGATCGATAACGGTTTGCGCGATGTTGGCGACGACAAGCGGCGAAATTACGAACAAATTTGTACAAACGTTGCTGCTGGGATAAAAGTAACCGAAAAATTTACAGACTGATAATGAAGAAAATACAGTTTTGCGGGAAATATTATCATGTGTATGCCTACGAAATATCGAAATAATTATAAATTGTAAAGCAAATAGTAAATTATAGATGTTGAGACGTTTTTTTATTATTTATTAATTTATATACATTTCATTTTAATATAAAAATATTTAATTTTTAAAAAATTCAGATTCTTAATATATATTAATTATTTACCATATAATATTAAAAACAAAAAATTTTGTATATTAAACTAAATTATAGTCAATTTAATAAATCGATCTGTTATGATATTTTAAAAAATATTCTAAATTTTGTTTCTGCTTAAAAATAATTATCGCGATATGATTGATCCATTATTTATTTTTAGATATTTATTTGCTATTGTCGCATGAATATGATACCAAAGTACATAAAATTAATTATTTTAATTATTTTAATACATGTATAATTTTTTACAGTTGCCAGAAAATTATGTTTTCATTAAATTTTAGTTTTGCAACAATACTGAAAAATCGGCCAATCAAGTTGATTGAATTGGAGTTGATGAGGCCGGCTCTTATTATATGTATTGTGTTTCAAAACTTAAACTTGGACAGAGAAAGAATTTGTAAATCACAGTTGAACAATTCAATCACATGACCAATGCGATTAATGAATTCTTTTTTCATTGGATATCTTGGACCGATTTCTAGTCATAAACAAAACAATTTAATCCTATATTAAACGTAGGAAGTTCAACTCAAACTAATGAATTCATCATTGCGACATGAGTTTTGTTCGCATTACTTGAAATTCCCAAAATTTTTGAATTTAAAATGAGATAGATATATATACAATATTTGGATATTGAAAAGAAAGCGCAAGGTGCTGAGTGCAAAAAGTGCATGCAATGCGAACAGACCTAAGATTGGCTCAATAGTTGTTTCAATATTTCGCAAATGGCAACACTGCTTTTACGAGATTTTGAATCGCGCATTCGCGCTCACAACAGTTATATCGCGACGGAGAAATTGCTTCCGAGAATCGTTTCGTATTTTATAGTAGAATTGTCGCCGTTTAATGCAGTCTTACGATCGCGAAGACATCGCAATTGTTTCGGATAGTGTCGGACGTTCGCCGTAACGTTAAGCATCGCGTATGATTGCGTATTTGTTGTGTTCGTGTTTCGTCGCGATTTCGATACTGGTGATTCGCCTCCGCAAACATGGCTCCGATCGAAATTTTCGCGAAAACTTCGTTTTCCAGCCGGGTATCGACAGTGCGATTGAGATTTTCGCCAGGTATTTTATACATTGTACATTGCAACTTTATGTTATTCTTCCTTTTATTTTACATATTTTACATTGCCTGTTATCAAATATATTATATCATGATTATACCAATTATTACTTCAGAGAAATGACAATGGAATCGCGATGTCGAATCGACGTCATTTTGACGATGATTTCTACGTCGAATCGACATTGATTTGATGTCGATTTTAATGTTATTTCTCACTGAGTAAATTAATATATTAAATTAAATTTCATGTATATATTTGATGTACAGCTTATTTTGATATATCGTTTATTTGTTATATAACGACATAAAATTTTGATTAAAAACTTTTCCAAAATTAAACTAAAGTATTTGAATCAAGCTATAGCAGTCGACACGGTTCGTAATTAACATAATTAAATTAAATAATATAAAATTCCTAATTTTATATTATTGCGTAATTAAATTGAATAGTAATTTTAATTAAAATTTGTAATTTTAATTTCAAAATTACAAATGCAATTTTGAAATAACTGTATTGTAAAGAATCAAAAGATTGTAGAGGAATAAAAGTATGTATTTTTAAAATGTACTTTTTCTTTCTTTTACGTTTCGGTTTTTTTGCAAGCAATTGAAAAATCATATTTTTTTAGGTATATCGTAAAAATGCAAATGCCATATATATATATGTGTATATATATATATATATATATAGTTCACTATTACGATATTACCGACAAAGCATTTAAATTTTAATCGTAGTTAAAGTTCGCTTTATCATCTGATGCGAATTTAGATTCCTTGATATCGCGTTAAATAAAATTTTGTAAAAATAAATTCTAATTATATGGTTTATATATTTATAATTACAATTGAAAGCAAAACCAAAAAATCAAAAATGTTGAAAATGAAGTTTTTATACTTTTCACATTATTTTTGAATAAAATTGAATAAAAAAATATTTTGTAATGATTTAGAAAATTTTTTAAATATTAATTTTTAATAAGAAAGTAGACAGATCTATTTTATATTAAGGTATTTTTTAGGACAAAGTTAATCTAAGAAATATTGCATTATTGTATCGATTTAACGTACGATTTTCGACATCTGGTGGCATAAAATATAAATAGAAACTCTCAAAAACTTGAGATAAACTTGACGGATAAAATATCAAACGTTCGATTATTTTTCATTCGATTCGTTGTTTCAACTTCATTTCTGAAAGATGTCGCAAACGAGAAGAACATGTATGTACTCCGGAATGCACGGTTCGTCGTGCGAAATATCGTCTTGAAAATACTGTATACCTATTTTGTATCACGCACTTATTCATTCAATCATAAACGGTAAATAATATACGCAGAGACGAACGCTCGCGCATCTCCTTAGGAGTGATCAAAACAATTCTTCGAATTCGGTAGCAATTAGAATTCTCCGAATTCGATGAGCGAAGCGCGCGTAGGTAGGGAAAAAACGTTGGTAATGACTTTATGTTTATGCATCGTAAATAAAAGATCTGTTCTCGTTGCTTGTATTTTTTTGCGTTTAATATCTTTGCTTTCTTTCTTTTCAACGCTTAAATATTTATCTTATTTTAAGTACCATTTTTGGGGATTATTTTAAGCAAAGCAAATAAGTTTATAAAATATAAAATTCGCGATTCAAAATACTGGAGCAAGAAAGTTTCCGAAAAATTAAGTAAAAAGAGTTTTATCTATAAATTTTTATTTTAAGCAATATCAAAAACTACAGTTTTTGAAATAGGATTTAAATATAGCTAATTATAGACTACGTTAAAATAATCTGTCGCGAATATTAGTGAACGAGTTGAAGTGCTCGTCAACGTTCACTAATTCTACGTATGAATAATGAATATATGCCGTCTAAGTATAGTCATAATTGATTATATTTAAATCTTATTATCTCAAAAGTTATTGTTTAAAATACAAATTTATAAATAACACTTTTTACTTAAAATAAATACGGGAAGAGCCAATTATGGTCAAAGTTAAATGCTAGACTAATAAGTATATATTTTAAATAAATAATTTTTAATTCTCTAAGTATACTTGCAGACTTTCAACGCAATTAATCTGAAATGTTAATAATCTCCCCAAATTTAATTAGAAGCATCTTAAAACTTGTAAAGAACTTCTTGCAAAAATATAATACATAAATCTCGGCCGAAATTCAAACTCGGATCTTTATATTCCGTGTTTGTTTTTTATCTAATTTTTGGCTAACCATTTTATAGAGTATTTTGAGCACGTTCGGAGAGGTTCTATTAGCGCTATTTGTGTCATTCTATTTTCATTAGACGTAAAACAAGAATAGAACGATACAATACAAGTAGTGTTAATAGCGTCTCCCTATGAGTTGTGAATTTTGAGACACCCTGTATAGGCAGCGGCAGCAAGAGGGGAGACGATCGAGTGCGCGCGCCTCGGTGTGACGTTGGCTGCGAGTGGGGGCGCGCGAGAGCGGGCAGAGTGGGAGCGAGAGACGCGGAGCGCGAGTGAGACGGAGTGCGTGCGCGTAGTCGTGTCGCGGGAAGGGCGAGCGGCGGTAGGCGGTGAGTTTGTTTATCGCCTTGGTGAACGGCGAGAGCAGTCAGTGCGCGGTGCTACGTTCGGTGTGCTACATCCAGCGGTGGCGGTACGGGACGCGCTCGCGATCGGGTGACTATTTGTCGGGGCAGGAAATTTGGCCGCGTCTTTTTGTCCTCTCTCTTTCTCTCTCTCTTTCTCTCTTTCTCTTATTTACTCTTCGCCTTTCTCATCCTCCTTTCGTTCGGACGAATAATTACGCGAGTGTATCCGCTCACATCGTTCTCTTCGTCCGTTTTTTCAACGCGCACGACGGCAGTCCGATCGTCTTTCCGACGTCAAAGGGGAAGAAGCCTTAAACGTCCGTCGTGCCGGAGGAACATGCCGTGGTTCACTGCCAAGAGATAATAGAAACCGCCCGCGATTTTTCCGTGCGTGTGTCGTGTCGATCCGGTGGTGACTCCTGGCAGCAAACTCGTTCTTCCCTCTTCCTCCGGAAACCTGTCATCGATTACGTGGAAGCGAGCGTGTTCGGTCACATCGGGTAAGTTTTTAAATTCTCTGCGTGTGTAAATCGCGCGATGCAACGGGGTCACCGGACGTCACCTTTGACGCGACGTTAGCCGCCGTCCGTTAGCCCGATAATCCGTCCCGCAGTGACTTCACTCCGTTCTTCCGCTTCTCTCCCGCGTTCAATATCATTAATATCATTGCCGTTATTAACTTAGAGCGCTGCCATGTGCTCGATCCGGAACTCGATTCTAATTCCAAGGTCAGTTCTCATTTTCGTGTATTATACCTAGTGCTGTATTGACAGAAAAGTGATGTAATAAAAAGTTTGAATTTTTGAGATAATAAAAGGTAATTGGCCGTAAAGATTACATTTTAAAAAAACACGATACGTTCGTAACTCATTTGCTTGTACTGAAAAGTGTCACAACTCCGATAAAATTTACATCACACTAGGATCGCAGTGTTTGAATGTTAAAAACGATCATTATAATACGATACATTAAAAACTCATGAACAAGTTTTTAAAATTCGAACGCAGCGATCCTAGCATGGTGTAAATTTTATAATATCGGAGTTGCGACACTTTTTTTCACTTAAGCAGATGACTTAAAAACGTATCGTTTTTCCATAAAATTAATCTACTCTATATATAACGTATTCTTTTTCCAAATGAAAAATAATACGAGAGAAAAGTGACATTTATAGAAATTTATGGAAACTTATAAAAAATTATCTACTATCTTAATTAAAACACATTGTTCCAATTAAGAAATAAAAAAAATATTCTACTGAAAAGTCGTTAATTTTGAAACGTCACTTCTATCAACGAAACGATATTTCTAATCTCGCGTAGTGGAAAAACTGCACCTGTGATATATCATTTACACTTTCATACTCCCTGGGAATTGTCTCTTCTTTTTAATTTTCAATATACCTTTCGTCGCGTTTTAATTACTGCGCAAAGAGTGACAATGTGGGGGCGGAGGAAGATAGCGATTCTCGTCGCATCTCACTCTTATTACGTTAGATTACAATCTGTCAACGTTTCGTCTGTCTGCGGCGGCCTTCGTCTCCGTCAGCTGACATCCAGCGTGCCCCCCAGCTCGGCTAAGTCCGTCGAGGACTTTCTCCTCTACGCGCGTTCGTCCTTCGCCGATTTCTTGCCGTAAGACTCGAAGCGAATGTGTTTTTAACCGCTGGCATTCGTGTACGCGCTTATTCGAAATTTCTCCGTCGAAAGGTCGCGGGTTCTACACGTCGTCGTCCTCCATCTCTTCCTCGCTTTCGTCGAAATTGAGGTCGGTCTTGACCACCGCCGGTTGAATCGCTTTTAAGAACGCGGTGAAATTTCGGCTTTCAATTAAAGGAATCTTAAGCTGGTAGCAATACGACTGCTTGTTTTCCTGCTGGATTGCTAGTTGGATTAGAATCTTTTCACCGTATTGATGCTGATAGTATCAGCATCGCAGCCAGTACGATGGTAAGAATCTAATCCAACTAGCAATCCAGCAAGAAAACAAGCGTTGTGTGCCGCCGGCTTTAAAGTCGTCTGCTTATTGATTCGGTACAGGATTTATATATATATATATATAAAAAATTTATGTGTATTGAGATATCATTGTACACTATTATATCAATTTCGTATGCACACACAAATTTTGTACAAATTTTCTAATTAACCTTACATATTAAGTATCTAAGCCTCAGTATTCTAAGAACTCAATATCGTTTGTTCATGTAATCTCTAGATCAAAAAATAATTTAAAAATTAATTAGAATTAATGTAACTCTAAATTAGTTTTTAAATGATTCATATCACTGACAGCGATTTTGTAACGATGTGAATAAGGATTTTTATTAACTTTATTTCACAATTTTTTCTTGAGTAGCAACATTATTATGATAATTTTCAGTTTTTATAAAGAAAACTATGTAAAAAAAAAATGTAGAAATAAAACGATTCCTGAACGACCGCGAAAAAAGTTGTACTCTCCTTTGAATTTTAGAATTCTGAGGCTAAATTGAATTCAGCGACCCCGAAAACTCTTAGAAAACAACATCTTTCATAAGTTACTTTGTTAAAGCTTCTCAAAGGGTTAAAAGGCTGCTTAAGCAGAGTTGAGTGATGTATCGCTTATCATGGGGAAACATCGTGATAAAAATAAATCTGATATTATATTTATTAATTAAAAGTTGTTAAATAAAATATTAAGATATTCTAAAATTTAAGCAACGAGAACTATATTGTTATTTAAATATAATTTAAAGGAGATTTTTGACAAACGGCGAAGAGTCTGATACAAAATAATTATTTAGAAGCATTTAGCTTCAAATTCTAGCTCTGAATAATGAATATAACAATACAGTTTTGTTGCTTAATTCCTGAAATTTGGAATATCTTGATCTTACTCAACAATTTTTAGATTGTTTTTGATAACGATTGTTTCTTCCACATTTCCGATATTTCCTCGCGATAAGCGATACATTACTTTATTCCGTTTAAGTAATCCTTTAATATGGATACATAATTTGTACATTTTGGAACTTACATTTTGGTCAAAAAAAACAATTCAAACTTAAAATTTAACGTAATCTCTTTTCTTAAATACTTTAGTAAAATTCTTTCCATGTATTCATACTATATATTCGTATACTATGTATAAAGTTTTGAGTACACATCCTTCATTTTGACATGATAATTATCTTATAAAATTAGGATTTATTGCTACATTGTTTGTTGACTTTTTTAATTTTACGGCACAATACCAAATTAATTTTCTTGTTTTTCGCGTGTTTGTAATTGAATTGGAAGAATCATTTATTACGCGCTTCGCATAGTTTTCCTCGCGTGCAATTATATACGCATAATTATGTACATAAATTAAGATTCGACCGCGATGAGCGTAACCTTAATATACATATATTATAAATTGAAAGTATATTATGCATTTTTTATGACTATATCGATTACAGAATCTTCAGTACCTATATTGAATATTCTTGATATAAAACTCTTACCCAAAAAAAGAAATAAAAAAAATTATTTAATGCTTAAAACTATATTGATATTTATTTAACGAATAATTTAACGAATATTTAACGAATAATTATACTCACGGCTTTTAAATCGCGAAACAATGATTTTTATGATAAAAGAATGTCTACATCATTCTACATGGAAGAACGTTCTGCTGAAGTAGAAAAGCTAGATACAGATTAGAAAATAATTATATTGGATTATTACAAATAATTATGTACACTGAAAAAAAAGTTTAAAGGTAACATAAATTGGAATTTTGATTGAAAATGGATAAATCAGAATTTTCTGATTGAATCTATTACAATTCTAATTGAAATAATGTGATTGATATAATCAGAAGTTTCTGATTCGTTTATTTTCAATTAGAATTCAAATTAGTTACTTGAATATCAAAACTTGCAGCATCGCTCATCATGCTTAAATTTTCTGTACATAATTATTTCGAATCGGTTTAAAAAATTATTTTTAGAACCGTATGTGTGTGTGTGTGTGTGTGTGTGTGTGTGTGTACTTAAATTTTTTAATGCTTTTGTGCAAAATTTGTTCTTTCCGAGTATTTAAATATTTCAGCTATTCTATTTTATCTCTTACGATAAACGTACAAAATGCCAGAATAACAATCTATCGGAGCAGTGACGAAGTCGCCCCGTTGAAAAATCGTCATCGATGCCGTATGCATGAAACGTCGCGCGTGAGAAATATCGTGCGCAACGCGAGTCGAGTCGCTGTCTCTCCGCGCGACGTGTCGCGAAATATGCGGGCATTAGAGGAGTCGGCGGACGAACGCGGCGCCCTTCTTTCCTCGTCTTTCCTCTTCTTTAAGCCCGTTTCACGCGATTCGCAAGAAAATTCACCGTAGAATTCCGTCATTAATTCAAGAAGCTTTATTCTAGAAGAAAGGTCCTGTCTCGCGGGACTTTCAATTTATGTCATCGTAAAGGAAAAAAAGGTATTAATTAACAATATGAATTGATCCAAATTTGAATTTGCGATTTAAGATGAAAATTATAGATTATCCGTAATTCACACACGAGCTCACCATCGTTCTTTTGTTTCGTTGCTCTCTCTTTCTCAAAACAAAACAGTTTTTAATTATATATAATCGTGATTGCGTTTTTTCGAGAATACAATTTTTGTATGCGAGAATAACGAGAGTTACTTTAGTATTCTATCGCGGATATGACTGGAAGTTATGAATCGTGTGAGAGCAGCCTTTCTATTTCGGTTCGCGTCGCCGTAAAACTAGTCGGCGAATGAATTTGCAGCATCGCTTTAATTCCGTCTTCTTAATTCGCGCGCGCACGCCACGTACAACGCGAGCCACGTTAACGTAACATCCCCGTCGTAACGCCGCTCGTAATTACAGCACACAGAGCAGTATCCTTTCGCGATCCAACTCCTCCGTGATGCACACTCCGTCCTTGCCATCTTGACACAACCAGGTCGCTACTCCCTTTCCTCCTATCTTCTTTTTTCTATCCTTTTTACCGTACTAGGACTGTAACTTTGCTAGAAAATTACGCATGAGTGTCGCAATGGTAAATACTTTTCTACTTTTAATGCAATAGTTGAATAACCTTGAGAAAGATTCCAGTTTTTATAGCCTTTAAAATTTTATGAAATATAAATTTGAAGTCTCTCTCTCTCTCTCTCTCTCTCTCGTTCTCTCTGTTTATAATATACTCTCTAAATCTGAATCAGTGGATAATTATTAAATATCCAGTGATGATAATCAATGAGATTTAATTGAAGAAAAATGGAAGTTTGAGTTATAATTAAAATACCGATATTTGCATGTCAAAAGGAGTTTTTGGAATACCATGTATTCATGCAAATGCAGTGAATGTTAAAATAATGTAACTTTAGCAATACATTGGATTTCTACACTAAAGCTAAGTTAAGGATTTTACTTTTCATTCATAGATTATCGCTATATATATAGTGATAGATTTAGGATTGATATCATTGATTCAAATTTAGAAAGTAAGATT